AGGTTCCGAGAGCCTAGACAAGCCCACCATCACACTGGAGGCTGGTTTCACTCTTCTTACTTGGCTATGCCATGAGAGGCAAAGACACTGGCGGTTGAAGGAGGGGAACCTGTCGCAACCCGTCATCATCAGGTCCATGATGGGACATGCCAGCATAAGCAACTGGATTGTGGCGTGTAGCGGGCGGTCTCTGGCGAATCTACACCCGCAACTTGAGCCTTGGTCCTGGGTGCGGGAACAAAGAAAGGACAGTATCCGATCGAGAGGTAAGCCGTGCCACGCTGCGCCATGTGAGGACCAACAACTGAGTTAGCCAAGGCTGTGAGCAATTTGAAAGTGCAGCCACCAGGTGAGATGTTGTTGGTGGCGGACTTGCAGAGCAGCCAATGAGACATACGAATGCATCCTAGACACTTGTTGAGCATTTCAGCAGCATCTTCTTCCTGGTAATGGGACAAAAGAACACAACCCCATGTACCGCTCCAAAACGCCATCTTGTTGAAATCATCTCGAGTTGGAATGCTGTCCGGGCGAGTTCGGCGGTCAACGCTTGGCATCCAGCCTTGTGGAAACCTTGTTGTTTGAACATGATTCAGGAAGCCTGGGAGCTGGACCGCGTGACGTTCTGGTTACCCGATTCGGCATTCCGTAAGTCCTGACTTTCCATCTTCCAGAGGCATGGACGGCAGTGGTGGGAGGGGAGTGACTTGTTGGTGGCGCACAGCAGCATCTCGAGGCACAACGGTCGCCTCAGCGGGCTGATGAATACGATCTGAGGGGAGGGGGAGGCTCAGGTCTGCGGTCATCTCTGCCGGCAAGGTAGCAAGGGTCGTTGACAGGATATCAAGATTCGCCTCTGCCAAGCTGAGAAGGCTCTGCGGGTCACCAGATGAGTCCCGTGGTGTTTGCTAAGGGTGTTGGTGATGACCGGCAAACTGGAGAGAGAGCCATGTCTACCCTCGTCCCACCCGGCCCGTCCCTCGGATCCGAAGAGGCAAATCGATAGTCCCCTCCTTGGCCCGGGAGAAGGGCAACTGGGAGACCCTTTCCCGGGTGGACTGCAGGGAGCCTGGAGTGGCAATACCGTGGAATGAGGAAAACTGGAGGCCACCTCATGATCTGACCAACCCAACAGTGCAGGGTAGGGGCCTGCCGTGACCCTGAGAGGCTGAGACGACGAGAATTACTGCTGGAACGTAGGGAGCCCGGCCAAAGGGTCCGCGCAGGCGCCGTGCCCAGGGAGTCGGGACCCTGCCCGAGATAGGCTTTTTACGAGGCAGACGATCGGCGTTTTCTGCCTTGCTGCGAGTGTCTCGACGAGGAAGAGCGAAAGAAAAGTATAACTGTCGTCGTGAATACGTAGGGTAAATGCGAATTCCAATGTCTCATTCGAGGCCTCGTATGGCTCGGAGAATTCGCTCGGGTAATGCGAAGCTTGCCCCGCCTTAGATCGCCTGGATAATTAGTGCTTGCACATTCATGGATGGATGGATGGATGGATGGATGGATGGATGGATGGAGGATCGGGCGGTATTGGAGCCGCGAACCTCGAGATTAGACAGGGCCCGAGCCGACTCTAGCTGAAACGACAGTGCGCTTCCTCTGCAGGCCGATTTCAAGACATGTTGAGGGCCGAATGCCGACGACGTAGTATTGAGCTGCTGCCCGGTGCTCAGTCATAGTAGGCTGTTGCTTGAGTCCAAGCCCGCTGCAATTCAAGCCACCCAGTGCAGATGGCTGACTTGCAGTATCACCAAGTCGACAAGCTGCACAGTGTTCATGTGCTGGCAACTCAACTCGGTGGCACAGGTACAGATAGATCTGAATGGCCATCAACCATCTCGAACCAACATGGCATCCTGTCGTATCTCGCAAAACGAGAACCGAGAGCAGCGGGATTGCAATGCGCGTTGACTGCAGCCACAAAGTCTCTCTGGTCGTCTTCTCCAGGCGTAGGGTTGCGACAGGGCAGGGTCTCTCAGGTACCGAAGAGTGGTCAGAGAGAGACGATGGATGCGTGGCTGGAACGGAACAATGACATGGAGTTGGCCTAGTCGAGGGCAGGGCAGGGCAGTGAGAGAGGTAGGGAGGCTAATCCCTGACACATCCCACGTTAGCTCGTTGCATCGTTGCATGTGCATTGCAGAAGGCATCAATCACAGTCCTGTCAAGGAGATCCTTAACAAGCAGCAGCAGAAGCAACAGCAGCAGCGGGCTGTCAAGTGCGCACTCTGACTGAAACAATTATCGGAAAGACGTCGACCTGCAGATGATAGCTTGACGTCGTGAGAGTGAAAATGGTGACATGGATACTCGAATGACTGTTTCAACAACGACCCACGATCTCAAAAGTCGAGAAATACAGTGCAGATAAAATCCGGCTTAGCACAGTACGGGGCGGGATGATCATCAAGGGAAGGAAGGAACAGGTCTGAGCAGCAAGATTCTGCTTCTAGTGACGGGAGCGAGTGAGAAAAGAGAAGACATTAGCCCAAGGACTAAAAGGACGGATAAGGATTAGCCCCAAGACAGGCCTCGAGGATTCCCGCGCACCGGGTCCTGCATCCCGCGTCTCTAGCAGCTCGCTAGCACGATTTTATGGGGCACCCGATTATGCGCCATGCCTGGTCAGGAAAGGTCCCCAAGACGATCAGGGTTGTCCAGTGGCCGGGTTTCTCTGATGAAATGACGTCCACCAGATAAAGAGACCATACAGCACATTGTACGCGGAGGCGGAGACGGAGACCAAGACGGACCCGGAGGATAGAAGCAGGACCAGGGCCAGGCGGGAACGAGAGAAGGGGAATCTTGAAGATAGATAGCACGGTGCGCACGTAGGCATGTCATGTTCTGATGGAGAATCAAGCTTGGTTTAGTTGCCGAGGGCAGAGACAGAGACGAGACAGCGAGACCTTCTTTCTCCTTGCCTCTGCGTATGAGACATTCAACGTCCGTCCAACCGATGGTGAATGGATGAATGGATGACAGAAAGAGGGGCTATAGTTGTCAAATAATGAAATGATGTGCATATCGTCCAGATGCCTGCGTAGAATCCCGTTTCTAGATTTTCTTTTTCGCTTTGCCCTGCCCTGCCTTTCCTGTCAGCTCTTGTTGCTTCTTTCGGGACGTGCTCGTCTCTCTTTGCTTCTTTCTGCGATGGATAGTCACAGCTTTCAAGTCGTGCCAGCCCGGCCCACGCCTGTTGGCTGGCATGACCGAGAGGGGCGTCCAGCCAGGGCCCGGCCGCTTCTGCAACCCGTGCTGCACCCGCCAGCCCCTGTACCCGGCTAGCGCCTCCTCCCGTGGCCTGGTGGACGGAGGCGGTGGCCTGTGATGAGTTGTGATGGGCTGTGGGCGTGGGGTGGGAGGGAGCGGGAGAGCCAGTCAGGCCAGGTCTTGGCAGCGCCGTCGCGTGCTCGGCTGCAAGGTTGGATATCGAGACGAGGGGAGACGAGAGAGTGGCAGCCACTCAGAAGCCGCTGGCAGCGCTCCGAAGAGACGTGATTGGCCTCGATGCTCTAACACGACCGAGGCTTGTCTCTCGAGATCCTGGCCCCAACAAGCCAACCAAAACCCTCCGATACCCCTGTCAAAGGCTGTTTCCCTCGTCCCCTTGGCCATCTTTTCCCACTGTGCCCTTCCCTGTCCCTGTCGCACTGTTACATGATCCGCTTCGTTTCTCCATCTCCCGGAGCATTTCGCCTTTTGGGCTACTTGCCGTTACCGATGCTGCACTTTTGCTGGCTCTGGGTGCTTGTCTGTTGAATTGAATGGCTGTGGCTATTGTGCTGTGCCTTGTAGCCCGGGCCGGATCTACACGCAATCCTCACCTCACCTCATCTCCTTTTTCTCAACCGTTGCAGTTGTATTCTTTACTCGAGTGTCTAGCACAGTATGTCCGGAACGTGCGAGAGACGTTAATGGCGTCCTTCAGCTGAAAGCTGCCAAGATGGAATAGCTTTCACTAGGACTTTTGGCAATCCCAAACCTTAAAGAACAATCAACCGAAACCGTCATCAAGAAAAACTGGTAACAACTGGAATTCCAGAAGCAGCAGCAAATCTAGTTCATCATGGCAAAACTCTGGGGAGGGGTGGTAGGGGAAGACGGCGCCGGGAACCTGGACCTCTCGTTCGCTCGCTTCAACGATCGAAGAACGGGCAACCAACAACCTAACGCAGCAAGAACAGTTGGGAGGGCATCGATCGATTCCCGTCTCCCTGGCTGTGGACTCCGTCCCTCGCCTTTTTCACCCCGCGGGCACCCCCGACCTGCGAACTGCCAGCCAATGGAACCCCATTCGCTGTTCAGCCCCCCGGGCGATCCCACCCTCGGGCGGTCTCAGTGGTCTAGGTAGGGACCCCGAGCCCATCCTCCAATGGATGGGATTGCAGGGTCGGGCGCTGAAGCTGCCACGCCCGAACCTTTGCCCAGGCGTTCGAGTCAGCTGTGTACCGAATCCAGGCTCCTGGGCCTCTTCAGCCATCCATAGCGATGGGTTATCCGTAGGCTGGTGGGCAGTATCCCTGCCAGAGCCCGACAGCACACCTCGTCTCATTAATTATCCACCCGAGGGGGCCCCCTCTTCTGCTTCTGTGTCAAGGTCTGCGAAATCTGATTCCTCGAACCAACAGGCTTTGCATTTGAAGCTGTCATCATCGTCAGCATCCGTGGACGACTAACTGGACAGAACTGGACAGGACTGGACTGGAGAGGACAACACACTGTACTCGCTTCCATCTGCACAGTACCGACGGGAATAGTGTTACTGGGCTTGCTCTGCTCCACTGGCTGAACTGCTAGTCCAGCGCCGACAAAGAGCCACCTTTTTTCCCCTTCAAGAAAGCCTGTCTCTTTTCTCGCTCGCGCTCGTCTTGCCCGTCCTGGTCCTGGTCTTGGGCCTGGTTCCTCTACTCCTACTCCCTGCTAGCCGAAGACACTACTGGACTCGTGTGCTCCATCTGCCTCTTCAACGGCCTCCGCCCCCGGCCTCTCACTTTCATCCTCTCTCTTCCTCTCTTCTCCCTCTCTCTCCCCCCCGGTTCCATAATCCAATACTTCACACCCCTTTAGCACGTCCATTCGTGTCGCGTCGAGGCCTCTCTCTTTCTTCCCTCCTCCGCCGACACGAATTCCTCTTCACTTCAATCACGGTCGTCGCCCTCCGCCCGTGACTTGACTTGAATTGATCTATATCCATATCCACGCTTTCGAGTCGACCCGTGACCCTTGAACTCGGGCGTCTCACATTGAGGGTGAGTCTCGATCAAACATCCCAACGGGCGAATCCACCTACTCGCTTCTTCCCGCTCGCATAATATCGACGCCTTTTAAACTTCTTCAACACCTTCCTCGGGCTTTGGCTTCGCATACATACCCGCTCTCTTCTGGCGCCCGCATAAACCGTCGACCGTTTGAGTGACTGACCATGTCCTCGGGATAGGCTTCATTCTCATTGAATTCTCGAAAACCGTTCCTTTACGCGCGCACATACGCGCTCCGATAACCGACACCATGGCTACTCCATCCGCAATCCCCCTCAACGCCCGTCGCGACACCATCGCCCGCCTCCACCGTGTCACCAGAGGAAACCGCAGTCTCTGGTATCAGATGACCGTTCTGCAACAACCAGAGCGTGCCCGTGCTTGCGGTTCTGGAATGAAGGGTAAGCTGACATTGGGCGGCAATGGCTGACATGCTCTCATCAGCTTTGTCCGCCTTTCGAATGTGATCTCTTGTATGCTGACTCCCAATAGCCAACAGCGACCGACGACCTGTTGATCCTCCTCCCGTTGTCGAGCTCCGAATCATTGAGGGTCCCACAGTTGAGGAGGGCAAGGATATCACTTTCGACTACAACGCCAACTTCTTCCTCTACGCCAGTCTCGAGCATGCCCGTCCGATTGCCCATGGCCGTGTTCAAACTCCCGCCGCCAACAACCCACCCATCTTGACCGGTGTCCCCGCCTCTGGTATGGCATACCTCGACCGCCCTACCGAAGCTGGATACTTCATCTTCCCCGACCTGTCTGTTCGCCACGAGGGCCGATATCGTCTGACCTTTAGTCTGTTCGAGACAACCAAGGAAGAGAAGGATTTCGATCTTGAGCCCACTGATGGCGATCTGCCTCCTGGTGTCGACTTCCGAATGGAGATCAAGACGGAACCCTTCAGCGTGTTTAGCGCCAAGAAGTTTCCCGGATTGATGGAGAGTACTCAGCTCAGCAAGACTGTTGCCGACCAGGGATGCAGAGTCCGAATTCGCAGGGACGTCCGTATGAGGAAGCGCGATGGAAAGTCTGGTGGTGGCAACGGCGGCAATGGTGGATACGACCGACGAGAGGAGGATTATGGCCGCCGAAGGACTGTTACACCAGCAGCGGAGGACCCCAACAGTATTCGAGCCCGATCTCTTAGCAACTCGAGCGAGCACCGTGCTCCGTATCATGATGCATCACGCCGGCCGTCGATCGCCGACTCATACCCGCCGCCTCCTCCACCTCCGCCTTCATACGAGCCCGCTTCTTCCGGGTCTCGTCACCTATCTTTCGGCGACCCTTCTGCGCCGCAATACCCGACTCCTCGCCAGTATGCGCCGCAGCCCGGCTTGCAGCTAACCCCAGTTTCGGCCACTGGCCCGTATCCCCCGTCTGCCCAGTCACCGTACCCCAAGCCCGAGAACTCATACGCCTTCCCCAACCGGAACCTTCCCCCGACGTGCCCTTCGCCTGCGCCGTCAATGAAGCATGACGCCTATGACCGACGACAATCCAACAGCACCTACGTTCCCCCCTCACCTTCAGTATACTCTTCCGATGGCCACAACCGAAGAGACTCACAACCATCGTATCCTCCTACGCCTGCTGCTGTCCAGCCTCCCCGGCCAATGCACAGCCAGATCTCCCTGCCCTCGCTCAAGATTGCTGCGCTGGTTTCGCCGCTGCCTCCCATCGAGGCACAGACCGACCCTGCTCCCGAGCTGCCGTCAGTATTGATTGGAGGTAAGCGCAAGCACGACAGCGTCTTCTCCCAAAGTACAAGGCCTCTGCACAACGGTCAAAGACAGCTTGACCCCCACTATGGCAACAACCACCGTGGCGTGACACCTGAACCGGATCAGGGCATGTACTCTCGAGCTGATGGCAAGATTGGCGTCGTTACTTTCAACCAATACCAGTAAATACCCAGATGCACGCGACTTGGGGTGATGGGATCAGACGGCTTTGGCTGGTTGGCGCCGCTTTGGCGTTCTGGTGCTGTGTATTTCTAATCACCGGGCGACACTTGGAAGAGATGGGACGCATGAGCGGTATGGTTCAGGAGTTCAGGCGCAAGTGATGTTTCTCTCGGCCTTTGGAACAGGCAGTGCATCCATGGGACGATGACTGGGGAAACCTTTGAGTTCTTTTTGGGACTCATGAATATCTTTGACCACACACAAACCACACATTCACAACACCACCCTCTTTAACGTTGGATCGCAGGAAGGACTCGATCTTTCTATGACGACGACGCATATTCAGAACAAACAACGACGAAACCTGTCATTTCTTTACGTCACTCAATTTACTTTACTTTACTCTGGCATCCTCTTCAGCAAACACAATATTTCACACTATTTATTCATCTCCTATTGGCTATCTATCTATCTACTTGTTTCATTCCGTCGCAGAGTCAATTTCACAAACACTTTTCTTTTTACAAAATACGTTGATTACCACTGGGTGGCTTGTTCCTGGTTATGAGGCCACTTGCCCATGGATGGATGGGTACTGGAACAACTAGAGACGTTTCTCCAACGTTGGAGCACAGGGCAGGGTCTCTGTGTAGAAGATGCTGTGCCGCCTCCGCCGAGTGTCATTTATTGTTATGGAAACTGGAGATTATGCTGGGTTTTTACAAATGGGATTTTCGTGTCTGGTATGGATGGCTAGGTAGTTTTGTTGACAAGGGTTCAAAACGTTTGCGTGTGGTGTCCAATGCAGAGTGAGAAATGTGATGTGCATTGGAGATATGCTGAGCCGTGGTTTACTATGGGTGAGTGCTGTCATATGTCGCAACTTCTGGGTTGCGATGAGCCTGCAGAAAGTCATTTGCAAGATGTCTGAGACTGTCTCATCGGCTCATCGGTTGATGCACCCATGCGCTCTCAGTGACAAGCGGAATGTGATGATGGTACAGTAACCGGCTCAAGGTATCGCTTCAAGTACATTAGGTCCATTAAACAATTGAAGTAAGGATCCCGGCTACGATGTTTCCCGAGATGCTCCAGCGAAACGAAGAGGGAAAAAAAAAAAAGACGAGCCCCTTCTTCATCTCAGATAAATTGGTTTCCCCGTCGCTGTGCAGCATCAAAAAAGCTACATTTCCCGTTTGGGTAGCCCGACGGGTTCCAGGTTACTAAGGCGGCCATGTAACCTGGTCCCTCCTTCCCATTCCAGGCCGTGTGTCTGTGTGCCAGGTGCCAGCAGGAAGGAGCAAAGTCCACTCTCGTCTCGCTCGCTACTGCTGCAGGTACGTCGCTCGGTACGTCGCGGGTCGCGGGTCCCCCGCTCCTGCATTTTTGCGCTGGCCCCCAATTGCGCTGCGCTACGCTACAGGAGCTGGTTGCCGTGGTGAAATCTCACGTGTGCCCGCCATTGATATCAACAAAGCATTCCCCGTTGCTACTTGACGATTCACTTTTCTCACCCAGATTGTGTTATCTAGCCAGCAGCCACTTTTCTCTACTTCTTGTGTGTGTGGATTCTCAATCCGTTTTGAGAAGGTCGACCAAAAGAGATTTTTTCTTTACTCAGCTCGTCCTCTTCCCGCGACTACAACACTACGACATTTTCCCCTTCGCTGGGTACTTACACATATTCAACTACATCTCTACGACGACGACAAAAATAACGGCGGAAGCAGCACCGCATGGGTCGGCCGAAAACCCGCCGCGCGCTCAGCGCGAGCCGCTTCCATGAAGGTTCCATGAACGACCGCACCTCGGCAGCACCGCCAGTGCAGTTCATGGGCCCCGATGAGATTGCCGCATTGGAGCGTCCAGTCTCCGCAAGCATTCGATCCCAGCCTCGGCCGGTTAGTGACGACTGGGCCGACAAGCAGGTGAAGCAAAAAAGACTTCTTGGTCAGGTTTGGGACGGCGTGCGAGGTCGACTGCGTTTCAAGAAGGATGGGGAGGATGAGAGAGGCTCTAGAAGGCGAGAGAGGAGCCGTAAGCGGGATCAGTCGGAATCAAGAGGGAGACAGAGGGAGAGGGATGACAGGTCCAGAGAAGAGAAGCCTATCGAGGAGCCTCAGAGGGAGGAGATGCCGAGCCGGGAAGAGATCCTGGCCAACTATCATCACTTGATGGCGTCGGGCTTCTTTTCGTCTCATGCTATTCAGTCTACTCGCCAGCCGCCTCCTGGCTCTTCTCGATCCTCCACCCAATCTTCCTCTCACTCTTCTGTTCAGCCACCTACTCCGGCTTCCTCGGCAAACATCCTCGAAGCTTTGTCTCGAGCACCTACACCTCAGAACCTGGCCCCTCGCCCACCAGTATCCCGAGTACCAACTCCTCGAGCTCCTACCCCACGGGCCCCTACTCCTACACCAACTACCAACCCTACCTCGCCGTCCAGGTCTCGACACTTTCACAGAAACCACTCACCTCAGCATGATCCACAAGCTGCTACCTATGAGGAGCTTGTCGCCTGTGGCTTCTTCTCTCCCCCAGCTCCTGCAGCTGTTCCACCACCAACTCCCAAGGGCGCTGCACCAGCTCCTCTTGTCCACACTGGTCAAGGCTCGCGAGACTATCTTCAGCCGCCTCAACCGACGCGAAAATCCTCTCGGTCTCGGTCAGTGACACCATCGGTTTCTCGCTCTCATTCCCCTCTTCAGTCGCCAGCCAGTGCTTCTTCTAGGGGAACCAAGAGAGCAGCAGTTGACCCGACCTCTGACGACGAGGACGACGATGCGGCTCGAGATCCGCCTACCCCGAACAAGAAACTACGCAAAATGGCATCTCGAGATATTGCGATTCCCAAGCTACGGAATGTTGCATCTCGGCGAGCCATTCTCTCTCGACGCAGTGTTTCGGGGCCTCATGGATCTAGCAAGGAACGCAACACCCTTGCCCGCCGTGTCCTCGGACATTTACCTGGCGGCAATGGTCGCAGTTCCTTTGATTCACCTGACCGTCGAACCGAAGCTGCATCTAGACGAAGCGCAGATGTCCCTAGACGCAGTGCAGATGTTCCTAGACAGCCACTACAAGAAGTTCAGCACTCACGAGTTCTACGATCACGCAGGAGTGCTGCCGAAGCGCTCCGTGTTGCGCCCAACACCAACCGGGGCATTCCCAAGGTGCCAAACATTCCCGAAAAGTTCACCATTTACGACGAGGATGCCGAGAACATTGCCCCAGCAGTGCATATTAGCTACTAGTTGACAGCACTGGCATGTTAGATCGACCCTGTCGAGTTGTGATGGATGGGAAGCGCCTTGGATCTTTACGACAACGAAAAGGAGTGATGGTGAGACGACAACGACTAGAGTCTTCTTCTTGACTCTTCGTCTCGATAACCGAGGATGGACGATTTTTTATGCGGCCACGACTTTCTTCTTTTTCATTCTTGATGACGACAAACACACAAAACAACGTTGCTTTTGGTATTTTTGAGCGTCGGCTTGTTGTTAACTGTATTCATGCTGGAGATATCCATGATGACATGACATGCGACATGACACTTTTGGTTTTGAAACGTCTCTTTTTCTCTGCTCCGTCTACTTTGGTCGAAGCCTTGATATTTGGGGGTTTGTTTATTTATTCGGACAATGAATGGGATCTGGGTCTAGGATTTGCTGGCATCGCAAGGCAAGGAAGGGTCTGGATGTCAATTTGATATTGGGGGGTGGGGGAATGGGGTACAATGGTCCTTTGTCCTTGTACGCATGAATACGCTCGGTTTGGAAGGGACTGGTAAGGAAGGGAATAAGGGGCGTTAGGTTTAACTCTGGTACGTTGATAATAATGAATGACACATCTACTCTTGACAGCGTCTTGTCCCTGTTGCAAATGCCTCTTGTTAATGCCTACTGTTGGACATGTCCACTGTGATGCCAACTTGACGGGTCACGATCAATAGTCTTACTTGGGATTGATGAATCACGCACGATTGGACGAGTTTTACTTGATACCTGTGATATTCCCAAGTAACTACCTATCTGCAAAGCATGCCTCCCATGCCCATCACAAACAGGATTGCTATGTACATACTGACAAAGACATACATACATGACTTGCAAACCAATAACGGGTGTTCTGCTTACTACACCCTTTCTTCTCTGGTTTGCTTTTGCGCTTGCATTTATCCCTACACAACAACAGCAACAACATCATCATCAACAACAACATCCTTCTCCCACCCACCCATTCATTGCTCCCCTCAAGAACCCATAACCAGAAGTACACAAAACACATCCTTGATCCTCCATAACAATACCTGCTTGTCCACCCATTTATTCCCGCCGTTCCGTATGAACAATTCACCAGCTTGATTTCAAAAAAGGTCCCTCCATGCTCGTCATCACAGGTTCGTTTCCATCAGTCTCCGTCTGAGGGACTATTCTCCATACACCTTTACGAGCATGGACTCCTCCAAACCATCAAAGTTTCAACACCCAGTTGATTTCCCCGTTGACTTGCCCCGCCGCCCGTCATAAAAAAAAAAGGAGGTAATAAACACATAAAAGTCATGCGCTGAGAGACCCGTTGCTTGTTTCCGTGCGTGGTCTAAACGAATGACGAGTTTGAAATGTTGAAAAGCAATATATCGGCCGTGGCGGGCAAGTAAAGCAGAGTAAAAAAGTTAAGTATGCGAAAACAAAACATACTCCATAAGCCAGTCGTTTCAAAGAGTACGCCTCAAATCTATTAGTCGAGAATGAAGACAAACACCGTCATGCTGAATCTTGCTAGACTTCAACCACCCGCTCCGGCAGGTTCTGTTGAATCAGCTGCTGAGTCCTATCGAGTCCATTCTGGTAGAACGACCGGACAAAGGCCCAGATAAAGGTAAAAAGGCCTGGGAAATAGCTGTACGCCATGGCACAGCTCATTATGAGCAGAAGAGGAATCTGGAGCCTGGTTAGCTTGATGTTCAAGATCGGGTGTTGTCGTAATGTACTTACCCAGATGAAGAATAGGTTGCGATCACTGCTGATTCTCTTGAGCTTCGCTTCACGAGCCCTGAGGAACTGCTCTTGTTGCTCCTTGGTGATGGCGTTCTTCCGGCCAATCTTGAGAACTCCGGGTTCTTCCGTCCACGTCTCACGAACCTCGACCGCCTCAGTAGTTGTGGTGGCCGTCTGATCATATAGAGTGGCACATTTCATGTCAGCCTCGGCTTCAAGGGCCGCCTGCGCTGCAGACGCCTGCTTCGTGTCTAGGTCTTCCTGAGGGAAGATTTCATCGTACGCCGGGGGTGCCATTGCCGTTGCCGTGGTCTTGGACGACGAGTCCCACCATCGTTGTGGCTGCTCGTCTTCGTTGTCCGTGCGAGGTGCTGCCATTCCTGGCATGAACTGCTGAACCCGGCGCATGAATGGTGCCTGATAGTCAGGCATGTTGGGCAACGCGGGCATCTGAGGGAAGTGTGGCAGGTTCTGGAACTGCAGAGCAATCGACTGCTGGAACTGATGGAGCTGCTGCTGGAAGTGCTCCTTCAAGGCGGCCGACGCAGCTGCCATGGCCGTTGCAGGTGGTTCCATCTCTGGCTCCAGCTCGGCCGTCTTTCGCCGACGGAGGTTTGGCCGCTCATTGTCTTGTCTGAAGCCACTTGATCTTCTCATGCTCAGATACACGTGCTCATCTGGGTCTTCATCCTCAAAGTCTCCTGATGTGTACTCAGGGCTCTCCTCGCTTGAGTCTGGCGAGACAGGCTCCTCGTGAGTATGGACATGGGTCATGGGCTCCCACAGAGACCGCAGAGATGTGGCGCTGCTAGCCTTGCTGTGGAGAGAGCCGCCGCTGCTGCGAGATCGGACATGGCGCTCAGAACGGCGAATAGCACGTAGCACAGCACGCGACTGAGCAACGTCGGCGGCCGTAAGGCCAGACAAGCTTCTGATTGTGGGGTCCGCGCGGTTGATCATCAGCCTTCGCACAATCTCGGGATGGTTGTGGATTGCAGCAAGATGCAGAGGCGTGAAGCCGCCATTGTCCCTAGCGTCAGGGTTGGCGCCACGCGCGAGCAGAGCGGCAACGAATCGATGGTAGCCGAGGGAGCATGATAGATGAAGCATAGTATGGCCAGTCGGCCTCTTGAGATCCAGACGGGTCCTGTGCGTGCTGTCATCAAGGTCAATGAGATCCAGGCACTTCAGAAGCTGTGACTCGAGATGCGTGTTAGGAGCATGGTTGAACGTGTTGCCCATCATCTGGCCGCCAGAAGACGAGCCTCCTGCTGAACCACCGGACCAGCCCGAATTGCCATCGTTGAGGATCCTCCTCGCGAGGTCGCTAACGTCGACGAGTTGTCCCGACATCTTCTGGCCTAGAACTGTGAGAGCCGTCCTGATGAGCTTGTCCTCATTGTCATCGATGTACTTGAAGATTGCCGGCTGCTTGCCCGTCGGGTAAACCTGTGCAGCCTGCGCTGCCTGATGCTTAAATGTGACACCGACAGCGCCAGCAACAGGTGATGGCGGCAGCAAGCAGACCAGTGATGACTCGCCCCAGAAGGTAGTGGTAGTAGCCTTCTGGTCACCAAACCAAACTTCGAGCCCTTGGAAGAAGGCCGCACCCAGAACCGTAACCTCGATTCCGCCAGTCTTGGGGCCCTCGTTGGGGATGATCTTATGAATGACAGGAGATGCCCTCGTTTGATTCATACCCATGGGTACGGTAAACAAGTTGCTAGTCAAAGTTTGAGCAAACTGGTTCTGTGGGTTAAGAGCGATGGCATTCCTAAGTCCGTTTGGACTGGGTGCGCGGCTTGGATGTCCTGATGCAGGGGCCGAGTAAAGCTGTGCCGCGGCTATGTTGTCCATGCTAGCAGAGCGGTTGCTAGGGAAGAAGCCGGGTTGATCATTGCTGCTAGGGGTAGGAGGGCTAGTAGCAAAAGGCGCAAGACCATTCGGCTGGAACAGAGAGTCTCCTTGAGAAAAGGCACTCAAGTTCGACGAGAAGGGAGAGGTTGCAGTACCCATGTTGTTCACCTGGGAGCTAGGCGAGGGCGTCGTATCGTCGATACGAGTCATGGCAAGCCCGTTGGGCACTCTTGACGCGCTCGACTTTCTCTTCTTAGCCAAGGGGGCTCCCAGCGTTGGCGATGCAGGGCGTGAGAGTGTCCGGCCAGTCGGTGTTGTCTTGCCCGATGAAGCTTGGTAAGAAACCTGGCCGTTGCGGTGCATGCTCGAGAGATCGCCGGTCGATGGTGACATGCGGAACGAGTTGTTCGCGGCAGGGGGGATCAGACCGAGATTGTCGATGGCCTGTTGAGGAGCTGCGGTCGTCACAGGAGCCTCCGGGAGGGGCTGTTGGTGGGCAGTAAGCTGTGTTGTCATCGGGTGCGTCTTGTGGTCGTCTGTGATCATGATGGGATCAGACATGGCCTGGGCAATGACACGCTCCTGGTAATCCTTGATAGTGAAGATGACGTTAAATCCCTGCTTCTCGCCGTGGTGTCGGCAATAGCAGGCAATCCGCATTGGGGCATCGATTTGCATAGTGCCCGCGGGAACGACTGAAGCGTCCATCATGACTCCGCTGACAGACTGCCATTCCTTGACTTCAGCCGTATTGAAGACAATCACACGGCGCTCCTCGTCTTTGCTCCATAGCTTCTCTTCGTCAGGCTTCTTGATCTTTTTCCGAGCTGCGCGCTTGCGCTCTCTGGTGATACATCCTTGACATATTCTCACATCACCACCGTTCTGTGGGGAGTTCTCCTCGTCATCCAACGGAGGTAGATAGCCTTGGGGATGAGAGGCGGCACGCTGTAGGGCGTTCTCCTTCATCCCAGGTCCCTCCATAGCACTAGTACACACCAGAGACACGTAGAGCTCAAGCATGTCAGGAGACTTCTCAGGACTTGGCTTTGCGAGAAGCTTAGGCTTCGAGATTGTGTGGGCTGGGAGGTGAAGCCTGTTAACGCCAGGTGGAACAGGGCTGAGCAACATCTTGATGGGAATCTGAGTCTCGACTCTTGACTTGAGGGGTGTGGGCATGATCTTCAACTCGCATCGTCCACCAAAATTTGGATGCGTGGCCATCGCCATCTGCTGCGGTATTGGTACGGTCTGGCCCATCTGACCGCCAAAGTGAAGTGTTGTGGGCAAGACATCTGGTGCAGCTTGTGCCGCCACGTCCATTTTGTTTGGCCAAAAGGGTTGTGCACTCAAGCCATTGGCAGCCCTCGAAAAATCGGCTGCGTGGGGGGACGGTGAGGTGAACATTGCTGCTGGTGATCCGCCCTGGCTCAATACAGCACCATTGGACATGGACATGGGTGACACTTCACGTGAAGTTGATGTCTTCAGACCGTTCATAGCTGAAGATACTGAGTATTGCTTCAGTCTGTTAGTAACGTCCAAAGTCGACGATGATATAACCAATGATGTACGTACTGAGAGAGCCTTGTGGTGGCTCTGGGACTTCTTCTTGGGTGTTGCTTCTTTGCTCGAACTTTTAGCCTTTGCAGTAGGCATAACTGGTGAGGTGATTGAATTTCGAGTAGCAGTAATCTGGTCGGGGCTACTAGACGCCTCAAACGGCGCTGTCCGGTCGAAAAAGTGGTCATCGTGCTCGAAGTTGTACATGCCATCAATCTGATCGCGGCCAAACTCAAAAGGGCTGTCGTCGTCGGGAAAAGCACTGAACGCAGTACCCCATTCCATCTTGCAATCCAGGTCGTCTATTTGGGCATCGGCCGAGGTGATAGCCGCGTTGACGGCCGTCTTTGAGGATGTGGAGCTGCCGGTGCGCTTGGAGGATGCAGACTCGGACGAGGAATCCTGATAATAACCACCGGTTGGTGAAT